TCAACTTTTTTACTACAAGTCTCATTTTAATTTTTGCATTATCAATCGTTTCTCTCTAATGAATTATTTAATTAAAAATTCCTTTTATGGGTTAATTTCTAATCTTTTTATTATTATTAGAAAGAGAGATCTTTGGTATTTAATTTTGGTTGCTATTTGATTCAGCAAATAATGATTTCTATCTTCTAGTATCATTTTTCTAATTTTCTAAAATTTAAAAACCAAATTAAAATGACTCAGTTGGCATAGATAACATTCTATCTCTATTGGTATTTAAGATCTTTAAAGTTTATATTTCAAATGGTTTTTTAATCTGATGGGATTATGTTAATCTTCTTTTTATTTACATATCATTATCCCTAGATATTGATTCTTGAATATTATTTTCCATCTCTTCATTAATCTATAAAGAAGTTTAAAATTTGAATCTTTGAGTTTGTTAATTCCTTTACTACATACTTTCTATTTCATTTGGATTGCTAAACAATTAAAAACGAACTCTTTAATTTTTCTCTAAATATTATTTTTGTGGTAGCAAGGGTATATTTAGTTTTTAACAAATATGATTCTTATTCATCATATACCCTTATAAAAATTCCTTTGAAGATGGACAATTTAATATGTTAAATGAAATGGTCTCATTAGTCTAGGTTTTCATTTCTTGATTTAAATGTATAATTAAAATAAATGATATTATCAAATATATCAATATAGTTAATTCATATTAACCTAACGAAGCATTTAAGAAAAAATCATTTCTTTAATATTTGATCTAACATACTATGTTCTCAACAAAATGGCATTAACAAAAAATTGAGTTTGCAAGTGTTAATTTGATAAATTTTGTAAAATTAAAGACTTTGAATAAAATTTAAAATTAATATATATTCATAGGAAACATTTAAATATCATTAGAAATAAATATTAACTTGCATCTTATTATTCATATTAAATAAATATACATTTAAAAGTAAGTCTTAAACGAGAAGTATATTTAGATTAAAATTAAACTAAAGTTAACTAGTGATTGTTTGGACAATTATAAAATAAGTATTATAATAAATAATAGAAGAAATCTCAGAATTTAAAGACAAAAAATACTAGTTGTAAATTGTAAAAATTAAAGAATATTATGGGTTAAATTATACAATAAATCATAATCAAATTAAATCAAAAAAATAAAGAAAATATTGTTAGAATATGATTTCATAAATTATATAAGATACTTAAAAATAGTATTATTTAATTTATAGAAATTTGAATAAAAATTGAGTAGATAGAAACATATAATAAGATAAATAACCACTAATATAATAAATTTAGATAATCAACAAATATGAGAAATACAGTCAAGACATTAGATTATCTTTAATTTATTTTTAATAGAAGATATTTTTAAATTAATATTTTTCCGACTACTTGAATTAAAATGGTTAACAAATAAAGAATACCAAATATATCTAATTTTTAAATTAAGTCAAATACAAAATTTAAAAAAAACATAAGATGCTTCAATTCAATAGATTCCTTTTACTACTTTTATTTTATTTTACTTTAAATAACCTTTTGTGCTTTGTCTGGCTTGAATGTTTGACAAAAACCTAAACTAATTCTACTGATCCTCCTCATTTATAGAGATGAGTTATATTTTAATTTTACAGATTATGATCGCTGAATTCTATCAAGAATTTATTATCTTCTAATGGAATTCTGAGGTTATTTTAGCATCATTTTATGAGAAATGCTTTCTTTTTATTCTCAAATATTAAAAAGTTTATTCCTCAAATTAAAAAAAATTTATAACATTTTACAAAGTTTGAATTACATATTAGGTCAATTTAAAATTCTTTATTCTTTAAGCCTTGTTTCTATTGCTTTTTAGGAAAGTGTTACACTATTCCAATAAAAAGTATATAAAAGAAATTTAGGATAATTCAAAAATACGAGCTTCTAAACACTTTTTAAATTATAAAAATGCTCCGAAATTAATTAGGCTCTTATTTTTCGCTTTACTTTGCAAAAATCTTTATAAATAAATTCTATTTCTTTTCTTTACCTTAAAAAAGATCTAGAATATTTTTCTCAGTCTCCTTAATGATTTCAAATTGCTCAAATTAGTAGTTTATGATGAAATATAATGAAGTACAGATGGATTAAGCTTTTATATTCATCAAGGCCATTTATGCAAAAAGCTATAATTAGTTTATTGTTCCTTTGCAGCATTTCAAATTGAAAATATTCTACTATCTTTTTAAAAATAAATTAAAGTAATCTAATGTTTTGACTTTAAGTATTGATTTTTATAAATTTAGTTTTTATTAAAAAATAAGTAATTTTCAATCAAATAATATTTATTTTAATTCGTTTGACATCTTCTTCAGAAAGCTAAGGTCCCATGAATTAATCGTTTATTCTTTTATATATTCAAAAGCTTAATGGCTGTTTTTTAAAAATGTATCAAAATAAGATGGTTACTACTTTGCTACATACCTTTTAATCCATTAAATAAGATGCTAAATCCATTCATATTTGTATTATATGGAAGTATCTATACAAGGGAAATTTCTTCCAAAAAGTGCTTAGCTAATTCTTTTTTAGTATGATTTTGGTAATGCTCTAGCTCACCTTAGTATAACTAAAAATATAATTATTTATATATATCAGCTTTTTTGTTCCCTCTATAATTTATAAACAAACAAAGTCTTTAAATAAATATTTAAGGCTTAAACTCTAAACAAATTCATTAACCTACTCATGTTTTAATAAAATAATTAAACACTTAAGAAAACTTTTTAATTTTTTATTAAAATATTAATATTCTATAACCTAAAATTTTCTTTTAAAAAAGAAATCTCTAATTATTTCTAAGTTTGTGAGATTGTTTAGATTATTTAATGAATCATAAATTTATTTATTCATATAATCTAACTTTTACCTTTCTAAAAATTTAGCAAAATTACCTTTCTCAACTGTAATTCTTGCACAATAAATATTAGACTAATAAAATGTTAATTAAATAATAATTATAATCTTATAAAAATAATAAATCTATCTAGATACTTTANTTACATATTAGGTCAATTTAAAATTCTTTATTCTTTAAGCCTTGTTTCTATTGCTTTTTAGGAAAGTGTTACACTATTCCAATAAAAAGTATATAAAAGAAATTTAGGATAATTCAAAAATACGAGCTTCTAAACACTTTTTAAATTATAAAAATGCTCCGAAATTAATTAGGCTCTTATTTTTCGCTTTACTTTGCAAAAATCTTTATAAATAAATTCTATTTCTTTTCTTTACCTTAAAAAAGATCTAGAATATTTTTCTCAGTCTCCTTAATGATTTCAAATTGCTCAAATTAGTAGTTTATGATGAAATATAATGAAGTACAGATGGATTAAGCTTTTATATTCATCAAGGCCATTTATGCAAAAAGCTATAATTAGTTTATTGTTCCTTTGCAGCATTTCAAATTGAAAATATTCTACTATCTTTTTAAAAATAAATTAAAGTAATCTAATGTTTTGACTTTAAGTATTGATTTTTATAAATTTAGTTTTTATTAAAAAATAAGTAATTTTCAATCAAATAATATTTATTTTAATTCGTTTGACATCTTCTTCAGAAAGCTAAGGTCCCATGAATTAATCGTTTATTCTTTTATATATTCAAAAGCTTAATGGCTGTTTTTTAAAAATGTATCAAAATAAGATGGTTACTACTTTGCTACATACCTTTTAATCCATTAAATAAGATGCTAAATCCATTCATATTTGTATTATATGGAAGTATCTATACAAGGGAAATTTCTTCCAAAAAGTGCTTAGCTAATTCTTTTTTAGTATGATTTTGGTAATGCTCTAGCTCACCTTAGTATAACTAAAAATATAATTATTTATATATATCAGCTTTTTTGTTCCCTCTATAATTTATAAACAAACAAAGTCTTTAAATAAATATTTAAGGCTTAAACTCTAAACAAATTCATTAACCTACTCATGTTTTAATAAAATAATTAAACACTTAAGAAAACTTTTTAATTTTTTATTAAAATATTAATATTCTATAACCTAAAATTTTCTTTTAAAAAAGAAATCTCTAATTATTTCTAAGTTTGTGAGATTGTTTAGATTATTTAATGAATCATAAATTTATTTATTCATATAATCTAACTTTTACCTTTCTAAAAATTTAGCAAAATTACCTTTCTCAACTGTAATTCTTGCACAATAAATATTAGACTAATAAAATGTTAATTAAATAATAATTATAATCTTATAAAAATAATAAATCTATCTAGATACTTTAAAAACTATTAAGAGGAGATGATTGAATATAAAAAATTATATGAGAGCAAAGATAAGGTGAAAATTATTAATAAAAAAAGATTCAAAATTAATTAAATAAGTGAGAATAATATTTATTGAAAAATTGATATATAACAAATATTATGATTAAAATAAGATAAACTTCTAGATTACGTAGATTTTCAGCATAAGATGAATAGAATTATGTGATACCTAAACTATTTTTGAGTGTTGATTTTTATAAAAAATAATAACATTCTGTAAGAATTGTTTCAAATGAAGATATCAACAATCTAACATTCCTTCGTAGAAATATTAATTATTAAACAACAAAAAGAAGCACATAATCAGAGATAGAATCAATTGGAATTTAAGAGAACAACAAAGTTTATGAGGTTAATATATAAGTAAAATTTGTAAAGCATAAATAAAAAGTGGAAAAGTAATTAAAATAGGACTTTCATTAAGATTATAAAATAGTTAGATTTCCAAACAATTCAATAAAATAAATTAATGATGAAATAGAACTTAGTCGAAAACTATAAAATCTACTTGCAAAAATTAAAAAATGAATTTTAATGATTTATATTTTTAATTACTTTAATCATGTAAAAATTATAATTAATTATATAATAATGTAATATATTTAAATGGACAATCCAAAATATAAATTATAATATAGACATAAGAATTTCAATCTCTTACTGTAAATGATAATAATTTAGTTATTCTTAATACTTATTAAATGGTTTCAATAAAAATAACATAATGCAAGTCCTAATATATATTATAATATTATTACTTTCATCTTTGCTAGAGTCTCTTAAGTAGTTAATGAATGCATTTTCAATAAAACTTCTAAATTACAATGAGTTTCAGTATCTGGTAAGAGAGCTTAATTACACTTTTAATGTGAATCTCTTGCTTAAATTATAGCACATTTATTATTCCACCACTTTATGGTCTTCCAATCTTTTTCTTAATTTTCTGCAAATTCCTAAAATTATTTAAAAATAGCTAAAAACCTCATCAAATTCAGGATTTTCTTTTAGCTTTACTACTATTTATGGACCTGTATCACTATTATTCCATCTACTTGATTCAATATAAAATCCTCTAACTGCTTCTGATAAATCATTTAATGCTAATTCTTCTGCACCCTCATCCTTTTAAATAATATTAGCTGATTAAGCATCTTCAATAACAGGAATAAAATTAACACCACTTCTATATAATTCATAAAATAATGCCCCAACTTAAAGCTTTTTGTATGCAAAGTGTTAGAATTCCTATTATATATTTTTATAAATACTGGGTCTTTCTTTAATAATTGAATATATCCTGGACCAATCTCAAATTTAAATAAATCTCTAGCACCTTAGATATCTAAAATAGCTTTTTCATTTCCAACACATCTCAATTTAAAACTCTTATATGGATAATCCAAACATCTTTCTTGTAATAATCCAACAGGACCTAGTTTAGGAACACTTGCAACAATATTAGTTCCTTTATCCAATTTAGCATCTTCTACTCCATCTGTAATCCATTATTCTGTAACACGATCAAAAAATGCTACTCTCCATATTTTTTAATTTTCCTTGTTTGGAATCCAAATATAAGATGGAAGTTAATATGAAACCTCAAAATTAGATAATTATATACCTTAAATGCAGCAGGTAATTCAAAAGCTAATCTTTTGACAGTTTCTTTCAATTCATAATTTGATTTTAATGTCCAAGTATTGACTTTCTTTGGTGGAGGGAGCATTTATAAATACTCAATATCCAAAACACCTCCAACAATCCTAAATTTACTATAAACATCAGGTGAATAATTATCAAATGATGTCCATAATATTTTTTGAAGAAACAGAGATATTGATCTAGGAACATCAACTGCTAATTATAATTCTGGATATTCATTTGGTTTATGTCTATAACCAGATGGTTTATTTGATGGATAAATGAATATACCATATTTAAAATCTTCAGTTGGTGGAAAGGTCTTGATTACTTCTTGTTTAGTTTTATCATCTAATTTGAATGTTCCCTTTGCTCCTTCATTTGCTTTTTTAGTTAATTCTGCAAATTTTTCCTTTAATTAATATATATTTTTTACATCAATGAATAATTCAGCATTTAATACCATTTATGTATTTATCTCTTCTAGTTTTTTAATCATTATTTCTCTAATCTAAGTAATATACATTTTATTTCTAGCCACAGTGTCATTTTAAAATATTTATTGCTATTGTTACTATTATAATTATTATTGGTTTTATTATAGTTTTCTTTCTGCCTTTAATTAAGTTAAAAATCTATGAATATCTCTTTCAATATTTTCTGCTGATTATAATTTTTGGAGTTCTTCAGCCACTTTTAACTCAGTGACTATCTTTTGTTCTTTTTGCATAGTTATAAACGTTGTTAATTAAGCCTCCTAAGTTATATCAGGTTTTATTGAACATAATAAAAACTTATCCCAATCATCATTTGCTTTAGCTACCTAAAAATATTGGAATATACTAATATAATTACTTTCTTTGCATTATCTAAATTTTCTTTGAAAACACTTCTTTAAACTTCATTCTCTATTTCCTCTTCTTGAAGTCTTGCTTTTTCTTCTGCAGCCAATCTTTCTTCTTCTAATTTCCGTAACCGTTCTTCTTCTTATCTTTATTTTTCTTCAGCTTCTTTTCGAATTCTCTCTTATTCTTCTCTTTCTTTCTTTTCTTATTCAGCTTTTTCCTTTAATTCTTTTTTCGTCAATTTTTTTGGAGGAGGAGCTTTAGGAGGCATATATATAATGTTTATTAAATATAAAAGATTATCAAACTATATTTCCAAAATATTGATTTTCCACTTCTAATACTCTAAAAAATCTTATACAAAATCACAAATTTATTTTAAATAAATTCAAAACATTATTTAGACATAATAGAAATAGATGGAATTTAAAATTTTAAGAGACTAAAATATAATAATAATATTTTAGAAGTAGCTAAATAAATCATAATCTATATATTTATTTTATGATCATTAACATATTAATTATATCAAAATAAATATACAAGTTTTTGTTTTACATACTATTTAATGAATTTAATATATATTTCTACTTTTAATTAGATTTATATAAAAAATATAACATATTAAAAGTGTTTTGATTAATATACACTTTCATTTTAATCTCCTCTTCTATTTAATACAAGTCATATTTATTTTAATTTATCTAATAAGTATAACTCATTTATTTCATTTTTTAATAATATTTTGTTGTATCCTAATTTTTTTAGTTGTTCATTCAACTTTCAAATTTAAAAGTATAAACTTGATTTACATTAAATTCCTAAGAACTTAACCTTTAAATCTTAAAATAAATAGGGATAATAAATTGAAAAGTTAGTTTATCAACATATTATTAGTTTCTTATAAATAAAAATATCATTCATCTAGTTAAGTTTCACCAGATAATACAACATTATTTTTATTATTTACTAAGCATTTTTTATTTTTAATATTTTATTTCTAATATTTTTAAAGATTCTTCTTCTTTTTTTGTGAATTCCAATTTTTTATGAGAATTCACAATAGGAGTGGAATTTCCACCATTTTCCATTAAAGGAGACTTGTTTATTGGTGATCTAGCACTTAAAGGTATTCCAAGTGGTGACTTAGTTCTATTTCTTGGAGTAGAAAGAGGTGGGATTGCTTATAAAAATTGAACATGTTCATCAATTGTAACTTCATATTTTGAGCCAAAAGTAATTTCTCTACCTTTTCTATCGTATCGTCGAAACACTTTATTGATCATTAAATATATTACTTTATTCTTAGTTAGATAGTTCCTTTTTTAAAGCACTCTTTATAGCATGTTAGTTAATTTTAGTATCATATTCTTTATTAATCATTATTGTATTTACTTTCAATTAATTAATAAATTGTGACTCTTGAAACTTAAAAATATTAAGATAATTAATGGTACCTGTATTAAATAATAAATTATAATATATATATTTCAGACTGATGGACCCCTTGCTGAGAATTCATCAAAAATTTTTTTTAATTAAGGTTTTACTATATAATATTAATTATATATACTTAAATATATGCCTATTATTGGGAATTTGGTTGCACTATCATATAGGAAAGGTAAAAATGATTTAAACATTTAAAATAGACCATCAATTTATAATGGAAATCCAATAATTGTAATTTTTAATATGATAATAAAAATGAATCCTAAAAAAAAAGAAAATACTTCCCTTTAATTTGCCTTAAATTTATATTATTGATTACCTTTCTTCAAGAAAAAGTGCAATTTACTTTTAATTCCAATAAGTAAACATAATCCAATAAAAAATGATAAATTGGCCATTATAATAAGTGAGCTATCTAAAGAAAAACATAATGCCTAATAAAAAGAAAAAAAGTCTAAAAGTGAGAAATCCCATTCCTATTCCTAGATTCCTAATATTGTATTAAAAAACATACTTTTAGAGTCATTCAAAAAGTACATTATGAATAAATATATATTTAAATAAATATAAAATAATATAAAGAAAGTAATTGTTTGAATAAAATTAAATATTCTTAAATAGATCATTAGAATTTCATATTTATATATATATATATATAGATAATGATAATAATAATAATAATAATAATAATAATAATAATAATAATAATAATAATAATAATAATAATAATAATAATAATAATAATAATAATAATAATTATAATTATAATAATAGTTAATATTATATTTATTTTATCAATAATATTTTTAATGAGCTTCATTATGTTTATGATGTTTTTAATTTTTGTGATGTTTTTCTTCTTATTTATGATATTTATATTCATCATGTTTCTTTTAATGTTTGAAATTAATAACACTCATATCAGTTGCACTATGTTTGCATAATCCTAGATATCCCTTTTTTCTTCCATGTAAACATTCTTATCCTGCAACTCCTGCTTTATATACATCACCATGTAAATTTGGTTTCTATGATATTATATTATAATATATTACTCTATTGTAAACACATACTACAATTTCATCACTCATACCATTCTTTCTACTAACTTATGATCTACCACATCCAAAGAATTAAACTTAAGCCATTTCAATTTATCTAGCATGATCTTCATGTTATGCCCATTTTTTGAAAACTCTTTTAGCAGTCCAATCAGCACCTCCATTTTCAACATCACCTTAATATGTCACAAAACCATAATGAGGAGGAAATGAACAATCAATTTTAAAATTGGCTGGACATTTATCTGCACAATCTTATGCAAATCTAGCCAATTGATGATCCCATTTTACATAATTCATATTTGAAGCTGTCTAAAATTTACCTTACCAATTTTTTAACTTTCCTGTAGCAACTTCATTTCTATGTTCATTATGTAATTCTAATAATTCATCTTCTTTCTTTTTAGACATCCCTCGTTCTTTTACTCTTTCCTTGTTATCAGTATCACATCCTACTTTAGCATAAGCAAATGCTAAAAACACTATTAAAACGAATTTCATTATTAATATTATTTGTGAATTAACATAAATGGATAAATCAATATTGAAATTATATAAATAGGTTCTTAGAGCTGGAAATCAATTCAAAGATTACAATTTCAGAGAATATGTTATTAGAAGGGCTAAATAAGATTTTAGAGAATTAAAGAATAATCCTGATCTTAAAAATAAGGTCATTCAAAAATACACTACAGAATTAGAAGTTATTAAGAGATAAACAATTATTTAGAATCTATACTATTAGACAAATCATATTATTGAGTAGAAATAATGCAATATATGAGAATTTAAATATATATTAAATATAATTAAAAATGGCATCTTATTCAGGAGAACAATAAGTCAAAACTGTCATTAATACAGATGATATTAAAGAGATTGTAGCAATCCTTAATAATAAATTTAATGAGAATTATAGTTTAGTGTCCTTTGATGAACAAAATTAGTAATCATTATTGAATAATATTTTAGATTTGAATTCTTGGAACTGTTAAATAAAATATTTACACATCTAGACTCAAGATGGACTATAGATGTTAAAGTAGATAATTAAGAAACTATTATCTATAAAATTACTGAGTATTTACGAATTCTAAATTACCCAGGTTAATTTGATGATAAATGGTCACAATCCGTATTGATAGCGGATAAGAAAGTTGTCTATCCAATTTTTTATTATTTATTAACTAGATATCCAGAATTAGAAAAAAGAGCTTATTTAGCCAAGTATTTAGTACCAGTATTTGTACCGGATGAATTTTAAATGGACAATGATATTAAGACATGTGTTGATCAAATTAAAGACTTATAAGCTTAATTCTAAGTACATCATTAGTCACTTGAATAAGTATAATCATAATCTATGAATCCTGAAGAATTGAAAAAGGATATTACTTAATTTGAATAAGAAAGAGAATAATTATTAAATAAGATTAGCAATTTTAAGAGTAAAGTATAAACTAAACCAAATTTCAATGAATTATTAGATGTTACTAATATGTTAAGAAAGGAATAAGAAGAAGAAGCTAGATTATAAGATAAACTTAGATAATAAAGAATGTAACTTGATCAAACAGATTAAATGCTTTTATAAGCTTAATAGAGATTGATTGATGCTTAAAAGTCATTGGCTCCTGATAATTCACCAGAATAAATGTTAATGGCTTTGAGAAATGAAGTTAAAAGAAATAGAGAAATCAGTAAAGATAGATTGGGATTTGATTTAAAAGAGAGAAGAAAGAAATTAGAATAAATTGAAAGATTACTTGCTGAACCACCTATTACATTAAATGAATTAAATAATTTAGAAAATACATTGATGGCTTTAAGAAGAGCAGTAAATTAAATGGAAGATAAATTGAAAAGAGAAGCAAAACCTGAAGATGACAAATTAACTATTTATAAATAATAAGCCTAATTGGTTGCTAAGAAAAAAGAAAGGGCTGTTGAAGATATCAAAAAAGTTGAAGAAGAATAATAATTAATAGAAAAGGAAGTATTTAAAAAAGAAGATTAAATTGCAAAAGAGAGAGGACCAAATTATAAAACAAAAGGAGAATTTAAAGAATATGCTAATTAATTAAAAGATAAGAAATTTTAATATCAAAAATTAAAAGATGAATTAAAAGCATTATAAGCAGAAAGAGCAACATTAGAAAGAACAGAATAAATTTTAAGAAAATAAAAAAATGAATTACTTAAATAATAATAAGAATTAGAGAAAACACATGGAATAGTTGGTTATAGTAAGAAAAAGGAAGGTTTAGAAAAATTATCAGAAGAAAACCAATAAATTAATTTATAAAAAGGTTAAACTTTAGAAGAGATATCTAAAATTGTAAATGAAATTTAAGCCTAAATTTAATTAAAAAGACCTTTAATATAAGAGCAATTAGCAGAAATTAAAACAGTTAGATAATAATATTCTGTAAATGATATTATAATATTTATAGGATTTAGAATAAGATCATAAAAAAAAGAAATAAGAATTTGATAGAATTATGTTAGGAGTTGAAAGTGATTAAAGTTCTTTAGTTAATGAAGTTAAAAAATTAAGAGATGAAGTTTATGCTTTAGATAGAAAAATTAGACTTAATAAATATAATTCTGAAATTTTGGAAATTAAAATTTAAAGATTAAATGATGAAGTAAAATTAATATAAATTATTATATTTTAGGTTGAATATAGTAAGGGAGGTAAATAATTATCATCTTAATTTAAATCTAATGCTGAAATGTTACAATAAAGAATTTTGAAATTAGAAGAAAATATTAAAAATCTTAAATAGCAAAGAGAATTAGTAAAAGAAAATTATGAACCATCATTAAGACAAGTAATATTTTATGATAATTATATAGATGAATTATTTTAGTGATTTAAAAAAGATATTAAATGTTAAATTCTAATAATTATCAAACGAGTAGGGACAAAAATAATAAATGAAAGCAGGAGCCAATAGATTAGTTATTGGTTGATTAATTATCAAATATTAATATATATATAAATATATATAATCATTCTTATTATGGCATAATAATATCTGTATAATATACTTTATTTGGATATAGAGTGCACATCTCTTTTATATCCATTCTTAATTTAACATCTGTATGTCCACCTCCAAACCATATATATTCTAAATTTAATATTTTATCAGAAATCAACAAAGGCATATTTTAAACCATATTAAAAGGTGTAATAGCATTAAATTAATATCCACTTAATTAATATGACATCTTATATTAATTAACAATTGTTTACTTCATCTGATGTTAATCTGAAATGTAATTTATTTCTAGAAATTTATTTGTCAGGATACTTTTGATTCTATAACTATTTAAAATATTTATTAATCTAATATTGTTCTTAAATATAATACCTTTTCTCCTTATAATTTTGTAATATATTGAACTACTACACATATATATTTTGGATTGACTTCATGATCAGGATAGGAATCATCATATTTTGTATTTTCCATAATAATAGATTTACATAAATAATCTATAGATGGAGCTTATAATAATTCTTTTCTTTCTTCATAATTTAAATCAAAATAATTTGGTTAAGCTTAGAAAAGTTTGAATTTCTTATAACCATTCGAATCAAGATATGTTGTCATTTTCTTAATACATTCTGCTATCTCATTTTAAATCATTATTTTTTAACAAAATATTATAATAAAAGAAATTTATTATCAATAACTAATATAGCAATATTCATATTCAGTTGTTATGAAATTCAAAAAACTATTCAAAAGCTAATCTAAATCTCCTTCCATCAATTAATTTTATAGGTTCACTCTGTTTATGTGGAGGACTTAATCTCAGCCAAGTTCCATTTCTACTATCTAAATCTTCAATAACTAATCCTTCTTCTATATATGTGAATTAGGCATGTTAACCACTTAAATGCTATTTAAATTTATTTTAGAATATATACTGTATCATCTGCAAACATAGACATCTATCTTCCAAAAATTAAAGCTGTCTAATCTTACGTTAATTCAAAATCAAGATTGTTATTTTCCATTATACCTTCTAATACTTTAATAAAGACTGAACATTTAGTTCCTTAAATCTTTATTTTTGATATTAAAAACTATCCTGAACCCATATGTAGAACCAATCCTTCCTTTAATAAAGTTGGATTAGTTAATTAAACAAAAGTTCCAGATGAAGATCCTAAATCTTATAAATAAAAGCATCCATTATTTTCCTTATGAAAAATCTTACAATGCTATCTACTAACATAATCTTCTTTTAGTACTAATTAATTATCGGGATTTCTTCCAATTGAAATTCCTTCCTTTTTTATTGGTATTCTCTAATTTCCATTATTGATATTAATTAAATAAGTATTACATTCTTATTAACTGTAAGTAGTTTTGATAATTTCATGTACATCATTTACTTCTTACACAGTTTATTTAAATGATTGATTACTTTATACTTAATCTTCAAAAATTGCAGCTTTTATAGAACTTCTTTTATATTAATTGGATACAACTAAGCTATTAGATGTACCATTATCTTCTTATTATTAATTAAAACTCTATTTTTAATAATCAAAACCTTAATCTTTATCTAATGATTTCAAAAATTCAGAATATTCTTTAAAACCAATTTAAATCCCTATTATTATTGATATTGAATACATTAAACTAATTTTTTTATTTTCAAAGTTGATTCAACGATTCCCATCTCTTTTAAATCATTATCATCTAATGTACTTAATAATGCTCCATCAACAGCATTTTATCTAAAATTTACATCTAAATCCTATAATCCTATAAATTTCAACCAAATGGTGACATCATCCAGTTTCCATTTTTTAGGGTCTTTTGGTAACACTTTATATAAGTCCTCATAATCCATATGTAAATAGTAATTATATATAAATTATAAATATATGAATTTGAATTAATAAATAAGATTATTTCAAAAAGTAATACTATTTTTAAGAGTACATTAAAATGAGATTGGGAATAATAAATTAATGGATATACTCTTAAATATTAATATATATTCTATTATTCAATTTAAGTGATAATTATTTATATTCATTTATTGGTTCTTTGAATTATCATATTATTTTGATTTATATAGTTATATGAATTCTATAAGAGATTGGCAACATAATTGTATAAATACGAAAATATTCTTAAAGATATCTTTAGTATTATTGATAAGAAATATACAATTTAATTTAATTGTTAAATCTTTTGAAATAATGAGTTAATTTTTATTACACTCAAATCCTTGTAACATATGAATTTAGAACAACATATTAGTTTATTTAATGTGTAAATACAAAAATATGCAAAAAGAAAGATGCTATAATTATAAAATCTATTTATTAGAAATAAGAGAATAATACGACAATATAATTTTGGAATAAGTATTATAATTTGTATTTAAATATAAACAATTCAGAATTATTACATATAATAAATTATTTTATAATTATGTCACTTATAGCAAATGATGGTTCAATCGATTGCAATATTTAGACCTTAAATTAATTAATTATGGAATTTTACTTGGCACCCTTTAATTATAAGCATTTTGGTAGTATTCAAGTAAGAATGTTTAAAATGTTTGAAAAAAAGATTGCTTCGGATTAAGAATCTGATATTATAGAAATATTTAAAATATGTTTGAGAGATTATGCTTCTGTATTCTGACAATGCATTATTTAATAGGAATTGCTTTAAGAGTTCTCTGAAGAGAATTTCAAGTAAGTTGAAAATCTGTGGGAAATTCATTATCGTCTTTAAGCTACTAGTCTAAAAACAGAAAGATTGTATGAGATTTATTACGGTTTATTTAAAATTAAAACACCATGTCCTTATGGTACAACCATTATTAATTCTTAAGATTTTTTCCAAATCCATTTTGATATTGCTAAGAAAAAGAGATCAAATTTATAAGATTCAAGAAAGGTGCATCAATAATATATAAAAGAACGCATGAAGTAAAAAGTCACATTAGTAAAGATTTTGTAAGAATAATGTTTATCATAAAAACCTTAACAACAGAATAGTGAATGTAATTAATTGAAATCAATTTAAAAAAATACATAATCTATTCAAAAATAAAAAGATAAACTTCCTACACAGTCTACTATTAATGTGAGGAATGAATTTAAAGAGTTTGAAGATCGTTTATCTAAATTTGAAAACAGTTCAAATAAATTAGAACCAACATTTTCTGCTTCATGGACATAAAAATATAGGAATTTATTCTTGAAAAGGAAAAAGTGATTTATTTAAAATAAGAAATAAAGAAAAACATAATCACTTAAAGAGCATTTAATTTCTGAATAGAAAAAGACATTCGTATTAATATTTATTGTTTCAATAAATCCTTATAATATACATAGTTTTAAACTATTGTTTTTTAATGCAATATTATTTAACAATTTAATAATATACATATTATATATCTTATATTTATCAATAAGCAAAATTGAATAATATTGATTCAAAAACAATATCATATCCTTGATGTATAATTTGAATAATATTATATATAATCATCTAAGAATTTTCTGCATCTCAATTGATTAATCTAATCTATTGATGATATTCTTTTTTTAACTATTAACAATATATGATACATCATTGAAGATAATACTAAAATATTAACATAATCTTTAATGAATGATTAAAATTGTAGAATTATTTATAAAATCTTTTACAAATTAATATTTATACAATTATACTAAATTTTATACATGATATTATTATTCTAATACATCTATTTTAGATTTAATTATTGATTTTACAAAAATTACTTTTTATAACTACAACTCCTATTATTATTATTATTAAATATCAATTATTTAGGTGAAAATAAAAAGAATTTAGATTGATAAATGTATTTCTTAGAGAAATTACTAATTCAATCAAATACTTTAATACGTAATCTAAATAATTAAAAAATCTCAATTAATCATCTTAATATTTAAACTATATACATATTCTAGGAGTATAAATAGACAATAAAAAAACAAGAAGTTTATATTATTTGGTGTTCAACAATTTTTAATTACTAATTTAATTTAGAAAATGCTGAGATCTTAAGTCAAATAATCAAAAAATTCTTGTTTTTCAATATCACTCTTGAATAATTAACAACCAAATTTTTATAGATAGCACATACATATTCTCTTTCCTGTTTTGAATAAGGAAAAATATTATAAATTATTTTTATACGTATATATTTGTATTTTTAACAATATATAAAATATATATAATTATTTGAATGATTACTGATTATATGGTATATGAAATATTGTTGGGTTTTATGAATTTATTTTGAATTTAAAGATTTCATATGACATTTAAGAAGTTTAATAAGATTTTGATAAAGATGTGAGATCATTCATTATCTAATATAATTATAGTATTAAACGAATCTAAATTTTTTTGCTAAATTTAAATAATGGATTAAAAATCATCTGCTTTTCATTTATACAAATAAACTTTAATTAGACGGAACACAGTGCCCATATCTTAAGTTTATTCTTATGATGTTAAAGATGTAAATATTTTTGCTATGTATAAATTTAGAAAATTGGACAAGGAGCATATGGAAGTGTTTTCAAAGCAATACATAAGGTTTCAAAATAAGTGAGAGCTGTAAAAGTGATCAATAAACTCAACATTAAATACAAAGAAAGATTATTAAATGAGATAACAATTATGGAGCTATTAGTATGAAAATAACATTAACAATTTAAGGATCATCCAAATATACTGAGAGTATTTGAAACATTTGAAGATAATGAAAATTTATATATGATCTTGGAGTAAGATATGAATTTTAGCTAGAATCTGTTAAGGTGGTGATGTTTTTGATAAAGTGTTAGAAAAAGGAAATCTATCAATTGATGAAGCATTTAAAGTTTATATTCAATACATGAGAGCTGTCAATTATTATCAAAGCTTCAAAATTGTACATAGGTATATATTATATAAATTATAGGGATTTGAAACCTGAAAACTTTTTGTTTTAAAAAAAGGATGATATGAATACTTTAATAGTAATTGATTTTGGAATTGCCAAAAGAGGTGTTGATAAATTAAAAACTAAAAGTGGCACAGTATACATTTAATTAATTATATATAGGCATATTATGTTGCTCCTGAAGTATTAGAAGGATCTTATGATTCAAAATGTGATATCTGGTCATCTGGAGTCATATTATATGTTATTTTATGTGGATATCCACCATTTTATGGAGAAAATGAAAAAGAAATATTAACTGAAATAAGAAATGCTTAATTATAATTCGAAGGTTGTTATTGATAATTATAATATAGGTGATGAATGGCTTTAAATACCATAAGAAATTAAAGATTTTATTAAACTTTAGATATGTCATGCAGGTTAAAGATTAACACCTAAGGAATTGTTATCAAATAAACTAGTAGAAAAATTCAATTAAAAATTTTAAATTGATTAAAAATTGATTTCCATGTTGACAATTACATAATGGGTAAAGTTTCATCCATTGAAAAGATTGGGTTTATACTATTTAGCAACCTAAATCAATTCATCAGATCTTAAATAATAAAAAATGGCATTTTTCTTAATTAATACTTCTTAATCTGGGTTAATTACTTAAGCAGAATTAGCATCATATTTAAAGGTGAACAAATAGGATATATAAAAAATATGGTCTTATTTAGATTGCAACAATAACGGTTATTTAGATTACTTTGAATTTATTGCAATTACTTTGACTCCACAAGATTATAATAATCATTTACAATTAATTTTTGATTTTTTAAGTTAATAAGAGAAATTTATCACACAAAAAACTATAAAATCAATTTTTGATTAAAATGCTAATTTAGACTAGAAATGGATATCAATATCAGATACAAAAAGTAATCATCAAAATACACATGATCACCAAGTTAATGTTAAAAATATTATAGAAAAAGATGTTGATTTTGCTGGTTTCAAAACCTTAATGGGATGAAGTATATTATAAAATAGTTTTAAATATTATATATATTTATAATAATGATTCTGTCTTAGATGAAAAAGTAATCATAAAAAGATTGAGTATATTTTATTCATATTTCTGGATGTTTTAAAATATTTCATATTTGTAAATAAATTAATAAATTATCTATTTAACATAATAAATTAAAATTTTACAACTCTTAATGTAATCAAACATAAATTTCTTAAATAATCGCAATTTAATGAAGAAATGTAAGAAACAACAATTTTCATATGAAATTTTAATAGGAATTCTTTTTATTTTTATGAAATATTAAAATATATATATATTTGTAGTAAAAAATATGAATAAATCATTCTAATGAAGTTATTATTAGTATTGACAATTATATTCTATATAATCTAATTGTAAAATAATTATGAAATATTTTTAAGCAGTCTAATTTTTAACGCTCAAAGAATAAATTGCTATTAAAAATAAAATTGTTTAAAATTGTATTAACTATTTGATTAGATTACTATAAATTAGTTGCAAAAAAGAAATAAAATGTTGAGATAATAAAGACCTTATATATATATATTTAAATTTAATAAAGTTATATTGATCATATAGGTTTCTAAAAATTGCAAAGGTTAAAATAAGATATCCATCATATTTTTTCTTATTCTGATGAATTTAATTTGATTATATTATGTCAATTTATGATTCAAATACGTAATAAAGATTTCTAATATACAATATATTTTAGGATTCTTTTGATTTAGAAAAATTAAAATGAGCAGAACAGGCCTGATTATTGATGAGTTTGAAAAATTCTCATCTGAAATTTCGAATAGAAAGATTTCTACTAGAAAAAATAGACCTATATACACTTAAACTATAAGCGTAAAACGATACCATAAAATACCCTTAAGAACTTAATAAATGCTTTTCGAACAGGTATTTAAAAATGGTAAAAAGATAAAACAAGTATTTGTATTTTTTAATTTTAAGGCAGCAAAGGAATTAAGAATGAATTATTCAAGTGCTAAGTCATTAATCCATTATTATAAAACTGAAAAGAGGCCAATACCAGATTAAGTGAAAAACTTGATTATTAAGAATAAGTAAGCATAAATTTGCTCAATAGAGAAAAAAAATGAATAACATCTCACTCTATTTGTAGAAATAAAAATCAATCATGAAATAATTAACTCTTACAACTACTTTCAAAAACTTCATAATGAAGTTAAAGAAGAAACAATTTGATATAATTAGAATAATTTTTAACTGTAATTTGAGTTTTCGTTCTTCTTAACGCCAACTTCCATTTAATTTTTTCTTATAACATTTTTAATTAAGTTGTTTATCAAATAATATTTATTTAATTATATATAATATGACCCAAAAAGGGTTGCTATATTTAATGCAACTTTTAGAATTCTATTATGATTTTTTGGAATGACATTTTTGAGAATATGCTTTTGAATTTAGTAATTCAATAAACAATAAATCAATAAAGAGTTTAAATATTCTGTTCATGAAGTTAATCTAGATTTATAATTAATTAATAAAATTATTTTAATGTCATAAACTATTAATATACATAATTAATTTATTAATACCTATTCTATTCTATATATGTAATAAAATAGTTTGCATCCAATTAGTATACTATAAACCAGTATATGAATTTTATTAATATAAATGATAAAAGAGTTTTAATAACTATTAAATCATTTTTAGATAGAAGTTATAGTTTCTGTACTTAATGTTTTTAGTTTGATCATCTATATCATTTCATTATCTATATGTTTGATTATAAATATTGATTACAAGTATTATTAATTTTTAAAGTAAATAAAGTTGTTAAGTAGTTTTCTAAAAAAGATAGTTGCTTAGTCTTTTTAAGAGGTGAGCAATAATTAATTATGACAAACGAATGAATGAAAGTTGTTATTTGAAGCAATGGATAAAATTTAATTAAATTAAATAATAATAAGGTTAATGAACTTGAATAATGTATATAATGTAATTGAAGAAGTTATGGATAAATTATTGGAATATTTACATTAGAATAAATATATATGTTAAGATTAAAATTAACAAAATGAGTTTAGAAACAAATTTAAGTAGATAGTTGAAGATTGTAAAAATTATCAAAGTGAACAAACAGAAGAAGACATTAGTGAATTAGATTTCTATTTATAAAACCCAATTAATAGAAAAAGACATTAATCTTTTAGAATATTCAATCCATTGGTATTTTTAGCAAAGGAGATAAGATAGCATTAATAAATTTGA